GCAGTCTCCTCCATCACAAGGCCCGTTCTCCCTAAGCCGCCATTGAGGGTAAGCAGCATCTTGCAACTTGCACTGCCGGCATGCCCAGGCTCGGTCGTGCTACTGCAATAGTTTTCTTTTGTTAAGTTTATCAATAAGTTTAAAACTTAAACTTTTTCATTAAGTTCTCGCAATAAGTCCCGTTCATAATGTTGCTCGCGGTTAGATAATTATGCTTCGCACAATTCAGTGGTTTAATATTGACTGATGGTGATATTGTAAATCTATATATATTATATATATATATCAATCAAGCAGGTAATAATACGCTCAGGTAATAACTAGTATTATTGGTATATTACTATGATTAAAAATAATAGGTATTATTAGTTTGAATAATCAGTCTTATAGACCTTTTACTACGCTTGGGTCTCTGGCGGTATATGATAAAGACAGTTTCCTTCATGACACGATGGGTGCACTTGCCTGTTTCAGCGGTTCGTATCAGGTCGACCATAGTCGTCTCCTTCCGACCCATTCCTTTACGGCCTCGCCCGCCACTCCAAGGCGCTGCACGTGGAAACCTAAGGGCGGAGTACGACCGCAAGGCGCTGCCGCAGCGGCGCCACTGTCGCACGACGTCGGCCTCAGGTCGCGACCTTCACGGACACGACGATCAGTCTGGACTGGAGTGCTCGACGCTGGTGACGCCGAGACTCGCATGCTATACGTCTGCAGTGGTCGAATTAATAGCGACCAGCGAGTGAAGTACCCCCCCCACCAGACACGCACGCACGCACACACACATGCCCACACGCACGCACGCACGCACGCACGCACAACACACGCACAACACACACTCACACAACATCACACACACACACACCCACACGCGCACGTACGCCACACACACACTACAAGCACACCCCGCAGCTCCAAAACACACTCCCTACCACATAAAACTACGCAAGAAGTATTATCCAATGCCATATACATCGAAACAAACAAAAAAATAAGAGGTAAAGATAAAATGAAGATAAGAAGTATAATCTCAATGCCCTATAAATAAAGAATAATATAAACAATGCATAGCTATCAAAGCAAGAACAGTTAGAAGCTATATTAATTATTAATTAATTTGATTAAATTAAATTATTAATTATGCAATATGCTACAGCGCGCGAGGTCAGGCTTGCGAGCACGGCGACAAGTTACGTCATGGAGAACTGCTACGCTGGCGCACCTACTACAATCGAAGCTGCTGCTGATCAGTCACAAGGACCGAGGTGCCTCAGCCAAATCACGCGCAGCTGAAACGTGCAGCGTCGAGCCGTCGCCGGACACGCCCATACCTGAGCCCTCAGTTAGGTCCCACCTGCCGTCCCCTCCCGTCCGCCGAGGGGGGGCATGTGGAGATAAGAGTCGAAATATGAGCAGCTATAGCACAGTATACCACATGCAGGACTTTGACGTTTCATAGATAAATGACTGCTAAATAACAAACACGGAATGTAATTTAATTACAAAGTCTCAATGCTTTCTTTATTCTCTTTACACCTTATATCATGCCGCGAAACTTCGTAGAAATGCCGCTTCACATGCCTCCGTATAGCCCTCTGACGACGACTCGACGACCCTTTGCGTTGGACTTGCAGCGCGTGCAACTTCAAGATACATCGGCCTATACGAGTGGGAGAACGAGCAGTGTACGGGTCGGCACACATCACGAGCTACCCGTCTGTTCATCAACGGAGTCGTGGAGAAGTAACCTCACGTCGCAGCAGACGCGTCACACGTTCACTAGCGGCGCCTCGGTGTCGAGATTACGTGTTCCAGTCAGGTGAGAGAGGAACGAGAGCAGGGGGATTGGGAGGTGACTGAGAGAAAACCGGAGAGGCGAGACGAGAAGAAGACGCTGAGGAGAGAGAGAGCGAGCGAGAGAGAGAGCGAGACGAGAGAGAGATAGAAAGAAAAGCGGGCGGATGGGAGGTGACCTGACAGAGAAACGGAGAAGAGCGCGAGAGAGAGAGAATAAGAGTGAGAGAGAAAGAGAAGTGAGAGAGGAGAGAGAGAGAGACGAGGCGAGACGAAGAGGAGAAAGAGTGAGAGAGAGAGAGAGAAAGCCGAGGCGAGGGAGAGATAGAGAGAGGGGGGTGGGAGTGACTGAGAGAAACGGAGAAAGAGCGAGAGAGAGAGAAGAGTGAGAGAGAGAGAGAAGCGAGATGAGAGAGAGAGAAGAGAGGAGAGAGAGAGAGGAGAGGAGAGAGGAGAGAGAGAGAGAGGGAGAGGAGGAGAGCGAGAGCGAGAGAGAGATAGAGAGAGAGAGGGGGATTGCGGTGACTGAGAGAAACGGAGAGAGAAGCGAGAGAGAGCAGAAAGGTGAGAGAGCAGAAGAGAGTGAGAGAGAAGAGAGCAGAGAGATGAGAAAGAGAGCAGAGAGAGGGGGATGGGGGTGAGCTTGAGAGAAACGGAGGAGCGAGCGAGAGACGAGAAGAAAGACGTGAGAGAGAGAGAGAGGGAG